TAACCTGCTTTCCAGCTCCGTTCTCCTGTGCAGGGCAACCAAAGGAGACTCAGCCAATCAGCTGGGACTCAATGGGAGGCAGAGAAGAGATGGGGTTGGCGGGGTCAGTCAGAGGCGGCATTGGCCGGTTCACCCAACTACTCCAAATTTCCGCTACCGGTTCTGTAGAACCGCTGCGAACCAGCTGAATCCCACCCCTGATTCCGACTTCCAGGAGAGGCAGAGGAAGGGGGGGGGTCGAATCATGGCTTGGCGTTTCACCCTTCTGGCTGTTTCTTCCCAGCATACATCGTGGCCGTTCACCACAGCATCAAGGAGGAGATCCAGAGGAACGTCTCCGGAGGCACCCCGGTCAGGAGGCGAGCCGGCAGCCAAGCTTCCCAGGAGGCCGTAGGGGAGACGGGGACCATGCCAGGTGAGTGCCCACAGCCTCCCTGCGCCCGTCCGTTTGGGCAAGTGGCGGGCAGCTGGCCAAGTGCCAGAGAGCTTGGACCTCTTAAGCATTGGAAGCCAATGAACGCGACGAGGGGGACGGAGGCTAAAAACCTAGGAAGAACGGTTGCTGGAATTGGGAATGTCTGGTTTAATGAAAAGAAGGTCTAAGGGGTGACAGGATGGCAGCCTTCCAATATTTGAGGGGCTGCCCCAAAGAAGAAGAGGGGGTCAAGCTATTCTCCAAAGCCCCAGAAGGCAGAATAAGGAGACTCAACAAGGAGAGAAGCAACCTGGAATTAAGGAGAAACTTCGTCACAGTGAGGGACAATTAACCAGGGGAACAGCTCGCCACCAGAAGTTGTGGGTGCTTCATCCCTGGAGGTTTTTATGAAGAGACTGGACAGCCATTGGTCTGAAATGGTATCGGCTTTCCTGCACGAGCAAGGGGGTTAGACTAGAAGACCTCCAAGGTCCCTTCCGGCTCTATTCTGAATTGATTGGACTTTAGACAGACTCTCACTCGGACAGCCACGTCTTCTGTACCCTGAAGAAAGCACCAAAAAAAATATATATGTCAGGCTGTTGAGATAATTAAAAGCAAGGTTGAGAAAACTTAAAGGAAGGGAAAAAATTTCTTGAGAAAATGTTAAAATAGTAATAAGATATGGAATAGAACAGAAAGATGAATAGGAAGTTGAGTTTGTGTCTGCATGGAGAAGGGATAACCCGGGACCACGCTACTCTCAAATAAAGATATTTTATTTTTATTATGTTTTGTGACAACCCAAATAAAATTTTTTACACGAAACAAGTGTGGGGCTTTTGGGGTGTGTGTGGGTGTGTCCTTTTCAACACCAGACGTTTACCTCCCCATCACTGAGGGCTGTGTCTGGTTGCCTCCTCCTCCTCCTCCTCCTCCTCCCTTCTAGGGGCCATCGCCTTCTCGCAGGAGTACGTCTCCAACGAGCTGACCCAAAGCGTTTTCACCATCACGCAGAAGATCCAAAAGAAAGTCACCGGTTCTCGCCACACCGCAGAGCTCTCCGAAATGTTCCCATCCCTGCCTGGCTCGCACCTGACGCTCAACAATCCTGCCCTGGAGTTCATCAAACAAGTCTGTCAGGTGAGGGTGAGGGGCGTCCCCTGGGAGCAATTGGCCTTGGTGCAGGAGGAGGAGGAGGAAGAGGAGGAGGGGCCGGGGTGGAGCGAGCAGAAAAAGAAAGGGAATATAAAGATAAAGCCTGAAAGTTTTCCTTGTGGGGGGCAGGGGGGGGTTCGTGGGAAAAGACTTCTTGGAAAAAGAAATTGGAACTTTGATGTGTTGACGGGAGCAAAATCACTTATTGCAGAAAAATGGAAGGGCGCTTCAGTCCCCACCATGAGGACACCCTGAGTTGGAGTTTGCAGAGAGGGCTGAATTCCTTCCTTCCTTCCTTCCTTCCTTCCTTCCTTCCTTCCTTCCTTCCTTCCTTC